AGATGCAAAGTAGGGAAAGAGTGTAGGTGGGAGAAAAATGTTGCCCTTTTTCATCTGCTTTTCAATGATACAGTTTAATGTTTATTTACATCCTGCTGCACTTATTTATAAAGATATTATCTTTATAAATTAGATTCCTGCAGGGAAAGCTAAAAGTCTGTGTGATAACAGTGTAGGCTCTTGTGTATGTAAGTAAGGAGGGGGCAGAATGAAATTTTGTCTCAGGTTTTCTTGCTTTCTTCTCACAGGTAAGCATTGAATCTGATGAGATCAAGTCCCCTTTGTAACAGTAGCCTTCCCTCTAACACGGGGTGGCAGAAGGGGTCAGATAAAGACCAATAAGGTAAGAGAAGAGCAAAGATAAAGGGGGTTTTTATTGTTCCTCTTCCAACATATTATTTATAGATCCATGTAAGATAACTACAGGTGACTGCAGCTGAACCAAGAATCAGAACAAAAAAAAATATTGGAGATCATCTTACCTATTTTACAACTAATGCTTTAGGATTAAAAAAAAATAAATAATGAGAATTTTGCTAGTTTTAAAGGGAATATGTCTGGCATAAGTCTCTTTCATTACATTTTATAAATGCAAATGTCTGATACTTATCTGACCATGGCTGCCTACAATGAAGGATGGATCCTTCTGGGAAGTCCCGTTCATCAACACTTTAATGGAGTCTCAGATATCCTGACACATCTTTAATAACACAAGGCACTGTACTTAATTATGCCTCATTTACAAAAATTCACTCCGGTGAAAGGAAGTAAACCTCCCTATAAAGTGAATCTGCATTAATTTCCCCACTGATGTTAAGATGCTCCATTTTCACTTTCATGTCATCRGTAGCATATTGCTAGTTATGCTAAAACTGTCCAAGATATGTGTTTTTCTGAGTGCACTTAAGATGTCTTAAAGCACAATGTGTTGCATCTGCAAGAGAAGCTTGATGTTCAAATACTGAAACTAATGAAACTGAAACCTTTTACTAAAAGGAATGAAAACAAGTGTGCATGACATCTTCCTAGAAAAAAAAATCTGATTTTCAGCATAGTGTTGTTAAAACCTTGAAAAAAAACAATTGAATAATAGATTGTGCTGTGATATTGTACAAACTGTCCTCCTCTTAATCCAGGTTTTGATAGTAAAATTAATGGAATATATATGCATGCAGAATTTGGCCATTTTAAGAAGTATTCAACCTCCTGGCAGATAGATGAGGAAACATTTTGGAAAAAAAAACAAAACAAACAAACAAACAAACAAAAAAAAAAGCAACATCTAAAGTCAATATACCATGAAAGTAACTAAGATTAGATTAAAATAGGAAAACAAAAGAATTCTGCTCTACCAAAAAAAAAAAAAAAAACCACCAAAAAAAAAACCCCTAAATTGTTATTATTGTGAAGATGAAGATGTAGAATTTAATAGCAAATGGACTGGTTTATAGCGACAGGTGTTGGACCAGACTCCCTCTAGAGATCACTTCCTCAACCTTTCTCTGATTCAGAGCCAACCTTCTGTCTTAAATAAACTGAAAGAATCATTTTCTCACAGGAAAAGCCTTTCAGGTTTATAAAGTCACACAGAGTATCACAGGATGATAGTCTTAATTCGTGTTTGGTGAAGATTATTGGTGAAGAGGCTAAGCAGAAGCCTCCATKACACCCTCTGTTCACTGTAAGAGACTTCTTCTGGAACGCAGCCAATATGTGTTTTCTCAACATATCCATGGCTGGACTCAAAACAGAAAATCTTCAGGCTGCAAATCCTTATAATGCACACCAGAAATTCACATTTGTTCCTGTTGTTTCTGCCACACAGCTGTAAACATCTCAGCTTGATTTCATCCTTTTTCAACATTCAACCTATACTTCTTTCCAGCAACAGGGAATCTGTTTTTCCCCATGTTGATAAAGGCTTTTTAAATAAGCTCTAGTGGTTTGTATTCCACAATCTGCAAGAAAAACTATTTCCTCAAAAGTATGGCAAAGCCTGTCTAATATTTGCTTATTTCATTGTCACAATAGAAGTGCTGGTACATAGGTGGTAGTGCAGGAATAAAAGTGAAGAAAAAAAGGCCATTTGATTTCTTTTCTTGTATTAACTACAATGAAATAATGGAACTGTTGGGAAATCAGTCTGTAACATTAGAAGGAAAAATGCAAGTAGCAATTTTAAATAACTTTTCTGCCTGAATTGTGGGATAGATTGATGAATTTATAGCAAGTTGGGTGCTATATATTTATTTTCTGTAAATGAGGCACTTTAAAATGGACATCTAGTTCAAAAGATTTGAATGTAGTGATGCTAGTGGCCATTGTGCTTTTGAGACAGATTTTCCTTGTCTCAGGCGTTCTCACAGGAAATGTTATGTGTATGATAGAGACATGCATTTACTGAAGGTGAGGATTTAAAAATGTGAAAACTATGAAGAATTACCACCAGGTTAGCAAGAAYGTGAATTTTTATTAAACATTGTCTGATACCTACTCATATTCCAGTATACAGAAAAGTAGCCAACTTCCCTGAGGAGTGGGCTACATGTTTTTTATCATGTAGCCAAGCCATGCATGCAACATTCAGCTGAAATAGCCAATGTAAAGAGGACTCACACCTTTATTTGGCTCCTTGCTCCTGTTCTTGGAGTACACAACAGTACAACGCAGCTTTCTCATGCAGGTGACCAGACTTAATAAACATTCATGCCTGCTTATCTGCTAGTCTGTGGTTGTAGGTGTGCATGTTGTATTAGTGTTTGTGAATGAGTACACATTCTATATTTCTACACATTTTAGAGATGTTTGATCTAAGATTATGTGACCCACCTTTGTATTTCAATCTTCTGTTTTTAAGATTTTATGAATTAATGATGGATACATATGTCAGGGTGAAACTTAGTTGTGTCATTATCTAGGAGATTTTTTGACAAAAATGTAAACAGAAATGCTGTGAATTAAACTTTTTAGCAATCAGAAACTACAGAATAGGTATTTTATTTGGTTTAGAATTTTATAGAATATATTATCATATAATTTAAAAATGTGGGATTTTTGAAAAACATTAATTTTAGGACAATCATTTTGAGTACTTACCAATGACTTATATTATTCCATTATCTTACATTAATGAAATTTTAGTCAACTGGGAAAATTTGCAGTAGATGAAATCCTACTAGAAATATGAGACAAGCTTGCAGACATAAAATTTAGTCCAGAAACCCCAAATCTTAAGCCCTGTTCCTAGTATCATTTGTTATGTTGCTACAGGTAAGTCAGAAAGACCTTCAGAAGAGAGATGGCCACCTGGAGGGTTTTTTTTGAGTGAACATGCTTTGCTATGTCTTTGTGAACCCTCCTGAGACTACCTGAGATTGTGTCCACCTGCTTGAACACAGAGTGTTGTGCAGTGGTTGCTGATGTAACTTGGGTTATTGCACTCTTCATTGGTAAAATAAAACCAGAGTTTAAAAGTGCCATCACAGCTGAAATGGTTGTGCCCATGTTCTGAGCTGCTGGAAGACATCCAGCTCTAGCCCAGGCACCAAACCTTGTAACATGCAAACTCTTCAGTGCCATTAAGCTGAGTAGGTGAAGCATGAGGTTCATAGCTAATCACGTTCAGAGAATGATAGAATCATTAAGGTTGGGAAAGGCCTCCAAGATCATCAGGCCCAGCATTTGACTGAACACTGCCATGCCAACTAAAGCATAGCAACAATTGCCATTTCCATCTTTTGAACACTTCCAGGGATGGTGACTCCCCCGCTCCAATGCTTAACCACTCTTTCAGCAAAAAAATTCTTTCTGATATCTGACTTGAATCTCCCCTGCCTCAGCTTGAGGTTATGTCCTCTTGACCTGCTGCTTGTCCCCTGTGAGAAGAGACCAAGGCCACCTTYCTACAGCCTCCTTTCAGGCAGTTGTAGGGGGCCATAAGGTCTCCCCAAATTCTCCATTTCTCCAGGATAAACATTTCCAGCTCCCTCAGCTGCTCCTCATAAGTCCCTTCTCCAGGCCCTTCATGTGTTCCATCATCCTTTTCTGGACATTCTCCTGCACCTCAATGTCTTTCTTGTAGTGAGGACAGAACTGGACACAGGATTCAAGGTGTGGCCTCACGAGTGCCAAGCACAGGAGGACAATCCCTGCTCTGGTCAGGGGAACGCCAGGATGCCATTGGGCTTCTTGCACTGCTGGCTCATGTTGAGCTGCTGTCAGCCAGCATTCCCAGGCCCTTCTGTGCTGGGTCAATATCCAGCCAGTCTCCCCTGACCCTGAAGAACTCTTCATTGAGCCAATTCAGAGCATGACCAAAGCAGGCTCACATAGAATATAAGTATATTCTTAAGGTTGGCAGAGACCCAGCTATCTAACGAAGCAGAAGAGAACCTGAACACCATTAGTGAAAGGGAACCATGAAAGATTTTTTGCTTTGTATAGTGATTTTTTTTCTATTAATTATGTGGCAAATTAAATGTCCTAAAGCCAGAGACATGAAAAACAATGGCTTCAGAGTAAGAGTATTCAATGTGCTAAAACAAGCAAGCAGACAAACAAAAAGCAGATAGTGGGACAAAGCAGTGAACCAAAGGACTGGAGAACAGAGACAGACTATTACAATTTCATTGTGTAGTATACCTTACTATATATTAATGGGGAACCGGAAAAAAAAACAAAAAAACAAAAAAACAAAACAAATTAAACAGACTACAACGGTCTGAAACAGCTGTCTTATCCCTCTGCCTCTGTCCCAGCCGTATACATTAAATTCTGATTCTGCATGGTTGTATTATGATTTCATGCTAGTGGAAGACTTGTTCTATTTAATGGTCTGTTGAGGTCCATTAAAGAGAAATTATGTCGGTTCAATACATCTGAAGGAAGCTATCTGGTGATCCCACAGTTCATGCATCATCTTAGCAAAGTATACAAGACCAGAGCTGCTAGGATGACTCAGTCAAATGTAGAACCAAAGTACTGGTTGATATTTACCATACCTGAGGGTAGCTGTCAGTCCTTGGAAGAACAGATATATCGTAGGTGGCAGCAAAGTGGCTCTTAGCTTGCTGGATCTGACCATAGCGTTCTCTTTTCCTCCATTTTGCTCTTCGATTCTGGAACCAAACCTACAGTGTACAAGGAAACACTCATCCATGTGAACTAAATKACACACTGTGAGAAGAGTTTTAGGAAAAAAAGAAGATGTTTTGGACAGTGGCTTTGAAAATTTCTGTTCATCTACAAATGAGAAGTTGTCCACCTGAAAATTAAATTCTTACAGTTTCAATCTTGTCAGTGTTAGACCTGTTCAAGTTATTCCTGGCTGTTTTACAAGTACATGTTGTTTACTTTCTATTTTCTCAAAAAAAAAAAAAAACAAACCCAAAGCAAAACAAACAAAAAACAACCCATACAAATCAGTCTGTAGCAAGTAAAATTGCAAAGAAACTTTCTCTTAAATTCCCATGCCCCATGCCCACTGACTTGCTATGACTACCCATAATCTGCCTCCTAGAGGTGTACATAATCTTTATCAAGCGCAGTAATAAAAGGCAGGAAAAACTGGCACAAGGACAGTAGTCTGCCCAGCAGAAAAGTTAATATAAGGAAGTCTAAAAGGCCAGGAAGACAATAAAATTCACCATGTCATAAACAGTTTTTGACCTATTGTGATTTTTTTTCACATTGGTGCTAGATGAAATCTGTTTCTTATAATAGAAAGCAAAATAATGGCACTTTAGACTATGGAATACTTTAGATTTTATGCTTAAATTTCTTTATACCCCTTGGACTGCTCTGTAATATTTTGAGAGTCAAGTATTATACCAAAAACCCATTATATGCCCATTTYTTTCTGTTACTGATGACTGTCCTTGTCCCATGGTTTTCATAATTTATTTTTTTTCTTTCAGACAGTTTAGTTTAGACTGGTTACAAATCAGCCTGATGAGTTAAGGGGATTGCAAAGAAAAGTAACACTGTATAAAAGTAATATCCAACTAGTCTTTATTGTTCTAGTGTGAGCAAGCTCACSAAGACTTCTTTAAGAAATTACATTACTAATAGATTTTTTTTTTTAAGCAAACAATGACATTGGTTAGTCTTCCTTCTAAATTGATCACGTATTCATTTTGATATATACATACATAGTGGGTTTTTGTATGGACATTTCCTGTATTTTTAATGATATCTTATGATCACATATTGTGAGATATTTAAAATAAGACTGTTGGTTTATGATTCCATTCTTGCATTGATCATTGGAGAACACAACTGTCTTTTGATACTGCTTAAGCAATCAGGGCATAATTTTGCTTATTTTGATTCCTGAAGACTTGTTGCAGATTTAGTATGTGGACTCTTTTAAAATGTATTCATCAATCAAAGAAAGGCTCATGCATATAACTCCTGAGTATATATTGTTAGGGACTTTGGTGGCAAATTTGTGTTATTTATGATGTCTGAAATTCAGCAAAAAGAAAAGGGAAGGCAAAATAAAAAGAGGCATCAAGGACACGATGAAGAAGTACAGTCATGAAGCTCGTTTCTTGAAAAAGACTTGACAATCTCCCTAAAATGGGAAGCAACTACTGGACTGACACACAGCAGGAGAGAGAACAACTTAGAAAAATCAGGTTCAAGTTGGCTCTGTCTGCATGTGAGCAGGACAAATATTAAATTGGATGTTGATGAAATAAATGGTGGTGAAGGGAACTGTGGGTAAGGTATCCAGCTGATCACTCTGCTACAGTAAAATCAAACAATTTGCTTGAATTCATGGAGCTAAATGAGAAAAAGCACTTTTTTTTTTTCCTTTGACGATCCCCAAAAATGTTTCTGTTTACACCACTTTAATAGAAACTTACTCTTGGCAGAGATAAAGTAACCATTAGCCTCCACAAAGCAATGTAGARATCTGCTGCTTGTTATCCTTGAATTGCCAGATGCTCGTCTTTAATGACGTAAGGCCTTGCAAACTGCTTAATCTTGTGATGGAATACGCTTGCTACTCTGGATAGAAATGATCAACATGTCCTTTCATATTTAGCATATGAGAAATGCAAAGATCAGTTCTCTTTTAAGAAAGGGAAGAACATGTTTAAATAAAATAGAAATTGATACGCTGTGAAAGTCTGATATAGATTGTATACTTTTTATTTACTGTCTTCTTTTTAATACTCTCACCATATAAAGCCTGTAAACCTTAGGAAAAAAAGTGATAAAAGCTCAATAGACTCACTTTAATTCAATTCACCACTCCCTGTTCTCACTACTAATTTGTTCTTGAAGTTGTTATCTGTATTTCAGAATTATGCATTTGTTACAACAGTGTTTTAAAATTATGCTACTTTTTTTTTTTTTTAATCAAGACTAAGTCATAATTGGAAATCTGCACCTAATTCAGAAGGAGTGGGATTGTGCAAGGCCTGAAGAGTAAAAAGTCATTGAAATAAATTCTATTGGCATTGCTGATATTGTATTGATGTAACTGAACACACCGTTTTGGACTCTATTTTCTGATGACAGCAGCGAATATAATGTCTGGTTGAATAGACATGAAAAGAGCACTTCTTTCTAAAATTAATTAGCTGACTTTGTTACTGAAAGTGTTTCTGATTTAATTTCAGTTTGTATGCATGTGAACTGACGTCTATTTCTCTATATGCATGTTTGAATATGTGTTTAATTACAAGTTGTGAAGTTGTTATCATATTCAAGTCACTAAATTAAAAAAATGAATCCCAGTCTGCAAGAATCAACAGGACTGCTATTCTCTAAATTGAAATAATGATCATTACCAGAACAGGGAATATATCTAAAATTTAGATAAAATTGGAATATGTGACTTACACCCTTTTCTAAGAGAAGACCTCTACACAAGGGAAAGGCTGCATTTCCTGGATATTTAGCTTCTTTTCTCACCACTGCGCATCCAAAGCCATAAATATTATTGAGATTACTATGCAAGCACATACTGAATGAATTACATTTGTACACAGTTAAGAAACTCAAAATATGTACTAAGCAGTCAACAGTTCTTTTTGCTCCAAAAATTAGAATAACATTATTCATCAGTTATGAAGGTTTAAAAACCAGCAAATATACCTCCTATTTTTGTGATTTCTATGATCATTCCGTACAGCAGACATGAAAGGATGATGTCCTTGTTTTATACAGGCACACATACACACACACACACATACACACACACACACACACACACACATATATGTATATATAGATATTTATGCACATTTATATATGTGCAGTTTCACTGCACTGCATACTCTTTGCTTAACAAAGGAAATTGATTACTTAAACAAGGAATTTGATTACTTTTTAAACTGCACTTTTCATGCCATTACACACACAGAATCCTCTCCATCTGAGTTCTGCATTGTCATCAGTCTGAACTACAGGCAACAACTCTTTAGTGGGATCTTTAAATGCAACACTTTACATTTTCACTGCCCGGAATTTTGCAAGAGATCAAGACAGCTTTACTATTGATGTTGTGTTCTTATCCTTTAAACAAGTGTTCAGAGCTGCAACACAAGCTATTTTAAAAAATAACAAGTTATTTTAGTACTACAGCACAACATCTCCCATCCATAAAGAAATGAAGAAGCTAAAGGAGCTGTTTACTTTAGCTTTATGGGCTTTTATACAATCCCCAAGAGTGTAACTTACTCATTCCTACAATGCACAATTTGTCAGAGAAATGTTTGGTTCCTACCTGGACTCTGGCCTCAGTGAGCTCTGTTCTCAGAGCTAGCTGTTCTCTTACATAGACATCAGGATAGTGAGTTTTCTGGAATACTTTCTCCAGTTCCTCCAGCTGCATACTGGTGAAAGTTGTTCTGTGTCTCCTCTTCTTACTGCTGGAGACATTGCTGTCACACTTATCACTAAGTTCATCCAGGTCCCCCTTCTCCTGCAACCCTTTCACTGGAGACATCCTGAGATTGTTGCAATTGTCCATGGGCCTGCTCAGCTCTGTGTGAAGAGGCTGTCCTTCGACTTTAGTAATCCCGTAGTTCACTGCATACAAGGTGGGTTAACAGCTGGTTAATAAATGATCAAGGGGGAAGAGAAAGTGTTTAGGTTCAGGAGTTCATATAAAACAGTTTCACAAGGAGCAAGATTCTGTCGTGACTGTGTTATTACTATACTAGATCATGGAGGAGGAATTTGTAATATTAACTACATGTAGAATAAAAGTGCTAAATCACATTGAATTTTTACTGTAAATTGTATCTTAAAATATAATCTGAAAATTTACAGAGTAAGGAGGCTGTACAAGAGTACTTGGATATTTTCACTCTGCTGCTACTGCCGCTAAAGTAGTTAACAATCCATGAAATCAGCATCAACTAGAGTAGTACAGAAAAGGAATCTTAACCCAAAATAGAATTTCATAGAAGAGGCACAAAGATACTGACAAACACTCCCTTAAACTTGGAAGAACATGTAAAAACCTCTATTTCTATGAAAATACAAACTAACAGTGAAGTAAACTAAATAGCTGTAAACTGACAAATCAAGAAGCAAATTAAATTAAATATTAACTTCACTTTTAAAACTAAATAAATTCCATATATCTTCTTTTGGATTTGTGAAGTGGAATTGTTTTCAATTAGCCTTGTTATGTTTACAAAACAGAGCATTTCTGCAAAATGTTAGCTTATTAAAAGAGATACTTTGTATAAGGAATGCAGGAACCATTGGTCTTTAGGTAAAACCTGAGTGGTAGAGATAGAAAACATTCCACAGTAGCTTCTTAATAGGAAATGAAAAAAAATCCCTACTTTTCAATATTTTTAACTTATCTTATATCACTGGAAAAATAATGAGATAAGTTATACAGATAAAACAAAATCTGTTCTAAAAAAAATATTAAAACACTACATAAATCAAAATTAAGAAAAATGGCATGTAATATATTATAAGGAGCTTRCTTTGAATTTTTCTCACAATCTCAGCAATTTCCTTTATTTCAATTCGAGCTGATTGTACTGAGACAATTTTTAGATACTTACCATCGACACATAAGATAGGAAATGCCTCAACGCCCTCGAGGCATACGTTAAATTAATTAATTTTAAAAAAACACCAATGTTGATTTATACATTCTTTCGTTTTTTCTTTTTGAAATTACACTTGAAGAAATCTATCAATATGTGTCACAATTTGTTTCATACAAATAAAAGAAAAGAATTTTCCAAAAAAGCCCGTTTAATGTCTATACGAGTCAAAAACCATATGACATTGTTTGTCTTCTTATTGCAGCTAATCTTAGCCATAGTTTCCAATACTTCTAGGAAATAATTTTTAAAATATTTAAAAATAAATACCGATTTTCATCACGTTGGAATAATTAGGAAAATTTTAAATGTTTTAAAAATAAAATATTCCGCATTCTCCCAGCCGATGGGCTAGAAATTTTAACAATTGATAGAATTTTTAACACTATTGTTTGGAATACCGATGTCGTTTTCGGAAGAATCACCCCTACGCATCATTTGGTAACGCGGCAGAGACYAGGCTACCGTCGCAGGACAATATTTGAAGGAATCAAACATGACCAAGCGACCTTCCGTTCCCTGCCTGGATCAGCACCGGAGACCCGGCCGTGTCCGGGGTCCCTCCGGCACCGACATCTGGGGATGCTTTTTCCCGGGTGTTTGTTGGATGAAAACGCCGCGGCTTTCAGCGAGAGCGGAGAGTGACCAGGGAGCGGCCGAGGGCCGGTCAGGAGGGTGCCGGGGGCGGCCAGGGGTGCCGAGAGGTGCCGGGGGGCGGTCGGGGGTGCCGAGAGGTGCCGGGGGCGGCCGTGCCCTGCAGCGCCCTCCGGGACCCTCCAGCCCTTCGGTGTCCCGGGCGGGCTGTGCCGGCGCGCCCGGAACTCCGTCCCTCGGCAACCCGGGAGACACGGGCCGGGAGCGGTAGGGAAGGCAGCAGCCGGAGTGTTTCACTTCAAGGAAAAGAGCTCTTCGAAGTAGGCTGTTGCCTTCTCCCGGAGTTCTGTTTTGTTTTGGGGTTTTTTTTGGTTTTTTGTTTGGTTTTTTTGGGGTTTTTTTTGTTTTTTTTTTTTTTTGTTTTTGTTTTTTTTGTTTGGTTTTTTTTTTTTTTTTTTTTTTTTTTGTTTTTTTTTTTTTTTAATAAGTAGTGGCAGTAATATCATTAATATTGTTATTGTTATTTTACTACGACGTGACAGCCCCTTGCATGCACACATCCGAAGGCTGCACAGCCGCCTTTGGTCTCCCGGGGCGGGAGAATCCCTGGCCCGTATATCTCCAGGAGGGAGAATAACCCTGGGATGACGACTCACCGTTGTCCTGGCAGGGTGATGTCCTCTCCAGCCTCACATGATGCTCAGCTCTTTGCAGAGGGTTGAAGGCCTGCACGCATTTGCTGCCTGACGTTTTGCTATAAAAGGACTCATTGTCCAAAGTTTCCATAACGTGCTCCAAGCTGCCTCCTGCTCCCATGTAAAAGTCGCTGTTCTTGCTCGGCTGGCTCTTCAGGGCAAACTTCTCGCTCAGAAAATCCATAATCATCTAAGGCTGCTTGAGAGCTTCTTCCCTAGACAGAGGCTGGGCTGTGAGCAAGGGAGGGAGAGGAGTGGATGGGAGGGAAGGGAGGAGGGAGGAAGAGGCGTTCAGTGCTTAGGGAGCCGTTTTGCCTCTGAGCCTTTGATTTGTCTTGTCTTGAAAGGGGAACCCGAAGTTGCTCTTATATCTTGAAGCTCAGCAGGACTTGTGCAACCTCCCATTCCTAATGAATATGAAAATAAGCAAGCAGCCTAACTCCACCCCAGGTCCCCTAAGACCTAATTCCAACGCAGGAGGGAGTTCCAGGCCCGTTTTCGGCAGACAGATCTGTTTCAGACAGACATGCACAAGCATTCGGGGAGGGTGAGGGGAGAGAGGGAGGGAGGACAAATAAAAAGGACATTTCCCCTCTGCAACCTACGCACATTTCTCCAGGGATCCTGGAAAGAGTAATCTCTCGTTTCCCTCGCTCTCCCCCCAGCTCCCTGAGAGGCTTAGAGGAAGGTAATTTCAGGGGCACACACCCTCAAGTTAAGGATCTTCTTTAATCGATTTGACTGATACCTCGGTAGCTACAGTCCTGTTCTCTGAAGCTGTAAAATTAAGAACTGGTGTTTCTTCTTTATTAAACAGCTCAGAAGTTTTGTTCTAGAGTTAAACAGAGAAAGAAATATTGCAGACAGGTTTTTTGTTTTGTTTT